ATAGATTATCTCAGGGTTTTTGTCTAAATGGGATGGTTGTGAAACAGCTTTTTCCAAGCAAACTCCAGAAAGCAGGGTTGTATTAATGAACATGTTTCCCTTTTGGACTGGATGAATATTTGGTGGCACCCAAAATGGCAGGCATTGGCTAGTCTTGCAGATTGCTTTGGGCTGCCACTGAACTGGTTGCAGAGAACAGGCCCCGCTTCCTTTTTTTTTTTAGTTTGACCTAGTACAAAAACCATGGCTAAGGAGTGGAGCAGTGTTCAGCTCAAGAGCCAGATCCCAAATTTTGGGGAGGAAGGAATTTTGGACTCAAGGTCCTAGATCTGTTGCTCTGTGGGGCTGAACAGCTGGGATGGAGGTCTCTGTGTGCATAAGTGAGTTGTAATGTGTTCTTCATCTCTCATCAAGATGTCTCCACTCTACTGTTTTGCTCTCAGTGAAATCAGTTGGGTGATAAAGTGTTCAGGAGGCCAGTACTAGGTCATGCTGTAAGGCATGACCCAATCCTAGGTCTGGAAAGCCAGGTCTACTCTAGAAGTTAAGAGCTCCACATGTCTGCTCTCCAACGGACAGGGCTGGACACAGGGCTTGAATTTGCTGAGTTCTCCAAATTTCCCTCCAGGCTTTAACTTATATTTATATATTGCTTATTCTGATATTCTAATAAATGTTGTCCAATTGGTTTTATTTATATGTATCTGTTTTACTGACACTTTTGTGACTGGACTGAACTGGATCTCCTGTGGACTTAGAAGGTGTTAATTAGATGGGGTTTATATTCCTGTGAAAGTTAGACTTCTGGAGGGGAGGATTCCTTATCTCCTTCGCTTTGCCATTGTGGAATGCTGTTCAACACTGTCCTGTTTCTTTTTCACCCTAGTTTATTCTTCACTAACAAAGCTGCTTTGTTTGTACAACTTATCTAAAAAACTTAATAAATATCTATTATAAAACCATATTCAATGCATCTGGTTACACTAGAGGCCACATCTGGAGTATTGTGATGAGTTTTTGCCCTCCCCTACAGAAAGGATGTAGACAAGCTGGAGAAAGTCTAGTGGAGGGCAACAGAAATGGTGAAGGGGGTTGGGAACATGACTTATGCAGACAGGCTGAGGGAAATGGACTTATTTAGTTTGCAGAAAAGAAGACTGAAGGGGGATTTGATAGCAACCTTTAATTACCTGACGGGGGGGGGTTTGAAAGAGCAGAGTTTCTCAACCTGTGGTATGCGTACCCCTGGGGGTACGTCAGACACAGGCAGGGAGTATGCGGGTACCCCAATACTCTCTTGCCCCTTCCTCCTCTCAAAACCATGGTAAAAAATTGGTGCAGTTTAAAAAATTAAATTCCCCAGTGATAATTCAGTGTGCCGTGCTTTGCGCGGCACTGGGTTCAGCCCTCCTAGCTTTGGCAACATCACCTCTAGCCCAGGTACGCATGTAAGTTGTGAACTCCTGGTGTAAAAGGTGGCAACCCTACCCACACCAGATCAGATATCTGTCATATCACGGCCTTATATACACAGCCCTTCTTCCAACATATGGCACACATTAGTCTGTAAATGTAAAATCCTCTGGAAAATTGAGTGTTGGGGTGAAATCATTCAAATTTTCAGAAGTTAGGCTTAGGCAGAACTTGCTACTCAAAAGGTTGAGAAACACTGAAAGAGGATGGAGCTGGACTGTTCTCAGTGGTGGCAGATAACAAAGCAAGGAGCACTGGTCTCAAGTTGCAGCAAGGGAAGGTTAGTTTGAATATTAGGAAAAACTCTCTCACTAGGAGGGTAATAAAGCCCTCGAACAAACTATCCAGAGAAGTTTCATAGTTTCTAGGGTCGGAAGGGACCTGAGCAGATCATCTAGTCCGACCCCCTCCCATGGCAGGAAAGACTACTGGGGTCAAACGACCCCAGTAAGGTGGTCATCCAACCGCCTCTTAAAAACCCCCAGGGTGGGAGCCTGCACCACCTCACTTGGAAGCTGGTTCCAGACCCTAGCCGCCCTGACCGTGAAGTAGCGCCTCCTGATATCCAACTTCCCTCCACCAGCTTGTGACCATTGTTCCTGGTCACTTCTTGCGGCGCTCAGGGGAACAGGGACTCCCCCAGCGCCTGCTGATCCCCCCTAACCAGTTTATAACAGGCCACAAGATCCCCCCTCAGCCTTCTCTTTTGAAGGCTGAACAGGTTCAGGTCCCGCAACCTTTCCTCATAGGACCTACCCTGCTGTCCCTTGATCATACGAGTGGCCCTCCTCTGGACCCTCTCGATGCTGTCCACATCCCTCTTAAAGTGCGGCGCCCAGAACTGGACGCAGTACTCCAGCTGCGGCCTGACCAGTGCCGCATAGAGGGGGAGGATCACCTCCTTGGACCTGCTCGAGATGCATCTGTGGATGCACGACAAGGTGCAGTTGGCCTTCCTAACCGCCTCCCCACATTGCCGACTCATGTTCATCTTGGAGTCAATAATGACTCCCAGATCCTTTTCCACCTCCGTGCTGACAAGAGGGGAGTTCCCCAGCCTGTATGTATGGTGCCGATTGTTCCTCCCCAGGTGCATCACCTTACACTTGTCTGTGTTAAACCCCATCCTGTTCTCCTCCACCCATCCTTGTAACCTGTCTAGGTCCAACTGTAGCCTGTTGCTCCCCTCTATTGTGCCCACATCCCCCCACATCTTAGTGTCATCAGCAAACTTGAACAGGGTGCTTTGCACCCCCTCATCCAAATCACTGATGAAGATGTTGAACAGGGCGGGCCCAAGGACCGAGCCCTGTGGGACCCCACTTCCCACGTCCTTCCAGGTCGAGAAGGACCCATCCACTACCACCCTCTGGGTGTGACTCTCTAACCAGTTGGCGACCCATTGGACTGTATGGGTGTCTACGCCACAGTCCCCCAGCTTCCTAATGAGAATGGGGTGAGAGACAGTTGTGGTATCTCCATTACTGGAGGTTTTTAAGACCCAGCTAAACAAAGCCTTGGCTGGGATGATCCGGTTGGGGACGGTCCTGCTTTGACTAGATGACCTCCTGAGGTCCCTCTCAACCCTAATTTTCTATGATTCCATAATTCTAGTCACCATTATAAGCTGAAGCTGTGATATAGGATTTTTGGATTACCTGAAGGCCTTGTGTTCTGTTTCATTGGTGCTCATTATTGGTTCAGCTGAACATGTTGATTGCTTCCTTTACTTCTCTGACCAAGCTGGCTGTCACATCTGCACAGGTTCATTCTGTGGTCACTCACAAACAGACTTTGGGGCTTTTCTGCTTGGCCTAGGCCTCTTGAAAATAGCAAAGACTAGTAACAGGCTACTCTAGAAGCCAAGAGCTCCATGTGTCTGCTTCCCCGCTGCCAAACCTTTTTATTTGCACTGGTGACTTCTGTAGTGCAGGTATGTTGTATTTGCAGAAGTCCTAAGGACAATGACAAACAAAATGCAGAGCAAATAGAATTTGGTGATGAAATACATGCGAGAATATTCTGATGATGTTCCCCATCAGGCCCCTGAGAAGGCCATTGTTGTTATATTACTCCTATTCTCACAATGGTTCCTCTCTGCACGATGTCTACACTGGCACAGGAGCTAACCCTTTAGAGAGCTCCCCCCACTGAATCACAGGTGGGGGACTTGCACTAGCACAAAGGTTTGCTGCCTAGTAAAGGAGGGGAACCAACCCCACTAAGTCAGTAAAGTATCTGCCTTTGCAGCACAGCTGCCTGCTGTTGCTCATCAGACATAGGGCATCGTTCCAAACCTGTGAAACTGCCAACAGACACAGATGTTTGGCAAGGGCTTGTGTCCACTTTCCCACCTCGTTGGGAGCTTTATGCCATTGGTAGAGGAGTGCAGCCATTGTGATGCCCATTCCTATATGTGACAGTGATGGGGGATCTTGCAAAGTTGAGCAAGTTAGTACAGGGGCGGCAGATTTCCAAGGCATGTTTAGGTGATGCAGTAGATGAGGTTGTTAACCCAGTGAGTGATCTGTCGGTCACCATGCTCCTCCTTAGAGAAGAAGGGAGCAACCAGATGGAATGATTGTGGGCTTCTCAGTTGGTTTGGCTTAGCTGCTAAAAATTAGCACTGGCCCGCTGGACTCAACCGTGGTCATTGTAGAGATTTTTTGGTATTAGAGTCATTTGTCTCTAGACAAATAACCACTCTCTCTGGACTGCCCGAGATTTAAATGGAGCATTTGGACACTTTGTTAACCCCTACTCCCACCTCCATTTGCAGGAGCAGAGCTTGGAGCTCACTCCAAACAAAGAAATTACCCAACAAAAGTATAAATTGAGTTGCTTGGTACTGTAAAGCTGTGCCCCAGGATGAGAGGTGGGGAAATCAGATTTCCAAACAGCCCATAACATAACTAGCTTCTTTCCTTCTCCTCCAACTAGAAGTTTTGTTAAAATTGTGTTTGTTGATGACCATGGCATGAAATACTAGCAGTATCACATGATACACCTTGCTTAGTAGTTAGACATGCACATACAGAAGTCATTTTTCTTTGCAGTTCTCTTTTCAAGAATTCACCCTTTTTGGCAAGGCTGGTTTGTTGAAGCTGAATGGAAGTCAACCTAAGATGCTGGAGTAACTGTACTAGCTTATAAAATTTTCACTCTTAAAAAAAGCAATAAAATATTTAAATTTACAGTTTAACCTAAATGTAGACACACCTACAATACAGGGAAACCTTAAGCTATAGACACCAAGATATAAAAGACTGTAGCTGGAGTCGAATACAGAGATCTTTACCTGCCTCCACTCAAAATTACCTTGTTATAAGTGGTTAGCATTCCCCTTTCTGCTGTTGCCCTCATTGTAAATCCTGTTCCTGATGAAGACAGTAAATTTAAGCCAATAACTTTAGAAGGAAAGGTACTTGACCCACACTGCACGAGTGGAAGATGCACTGTTTTGGGTGAATGAAACCTAAGACCAGATGGTCACGTTCCAAGGTAGTCTAGCTAATAAATGGCTCTACTCAGTTTCTACAAGACATCTTTATTTTTATGTTTAAGGTTTATAAAAACTCTTACTCAAAATGCAAAGGTCAAAGGTTTTGGGTTTTTTAACCATATATACATTCAAGAAATAAATAACATTCCAAGTCATATAAAAAACACAATCTACAAATAGGGCCTTGAGACCACTGTATAAATATGGTATGGTGACAAATCACAGTTACCAAAGGCTTTAATTAATGATGATTGTACATAACCAAGACCAATCACATTATTCTCCAAATGCATATGATGATTTCACTTTGGTTGGCACGGGATTATTAAAAACAGTTGTTGGCCCTTTAAAATGACCTGGTTGATGAAGGCCTTCTGAATTTACTGGATCAGGCAGCATTGGCATTGTGCTAAAGGCTGTGCATGTTAAAACCAAAGCAAAGCATAATCCTAAATGCATTAAAAACCCACCCTTCACCCTGCCTGTAACTACACCTCTGATTCAGCACAAAGTGCTATATCGAATCAAACAGCTGTGTGAGAATCTGACACTCGGATCAGTAACTTCGTGCTGAAATGGAGCCAGATTAGAGTCACTGATTAAGAAGAGCCTGAAAATGATTTCTGCAGGCAAATATTGTTACACGTGAAAAAATAAGCGTGTGTGCTGATACTACAGCTGCATTACAATTCCCTTCCTTCTAGAGGCGATTGTATCCTCTGAATATTATTGCTGAAAGGTTTGTTTGATACAGTTCAATCAACTGCCTTCCTATTATACAACAAATAGATGGGTAATTGTCATCTAAATCTTTCAGGACAATAGTGAATAAGCTCTGGATAGTCCTGATTTAGATAATTATATTCAGTAGAACAACCATCTTAGGAACACCTGTTAACAACATCACTGCTTATTTAGATTTGCTTTTGCTTCTTAAGACAGTGGTGAAATATTGGCCTCTTCACCATACTATGCGTTTGTAACAATATCAGGCAGACCTACAATAACTGGTTAATGGGAAAAGTGCTGAACAGCGTGTAGAGAAGATGGAGTTTATAGAAGAAAACACATTGTGGCTTAGTTTAAAAAAAAAAAAAACACAACCCAAAAAACAGACAAACAAAAAACAAACAGATTTAGACTTTCCGTTCTTCCACACGGTTTAGTGCAATTTTAGATCACATAGTACCTCCTATGCTATAGACACAGTGACATGTTTTCAATAGCTTAGTCTCAACTGTTTTGATGTTTAGTGAATTTCTCTCTTCAACCTCCAAGGCATATTGCTGTTGTCAAGGCACAGATGTCTCTAGAACTTGTCCACACTTCCAGTTAACAGAAGCCAAAGTGTGGGGGGGAGTGGTGATGCAGAGCATAAACACAGATCAAGAAATATATACATCATCAGGTTCATGCACATTAACCGGACTCCTTTAAGGAGGGAGAGTTTAGTCATTTTAATAAGTTACTCTAGGACAGCAACTGAATCCATCAGGATCACTCCTCCACTGCCTGCATCAGCTCTGAGACATGCTGTCCTCCATAGTGAGTTTTCTTAAGTGCTGCTGAGACAGACTGTGCGGGAGTGTGTCTTTTCACTACTGTAGCCTTCTCTATGCATTTTCATTTCATGTTTAGTCCTTACGTGCAAGTCTGCAGAGAAGCCTTCAGAGCAGATTCAAGGCTGACCTAAGGAAAGGAGCAGAAATATCTAGTGAACTGAAGAGCTGGAGCATTTTTGATCTTCTGCATTTGGAAAAAAAAAGTGTTAGTGGGACAGACCTGGACATATTGTGGACAAACCAGAGACTAGGAGCAGTTTAGCATTTGATCCTGCTTGGAAAGTGTCTAATAGTGTTCAGACAACTGGAAATTGTTGTGGAAACCTGAGTTTATACCAAGTGTAACGTGCACTTAGACTTACAGATGGCTGTCATGAAAGCCTGAATCCCTGGATTTGAGTCTGCAGTCTGTTGCGTTCAGGAATGGATTAATAGATTTGTATGCAGAAGGCTCTCCAGATATGGCAACATGGTAGTTCCTGCCCCACTGAACTGCAGAATGCTGTTTGCCGCACAGAAGTACCTATAAAGGGCCTGGTTCTTACATGGTTGCTTATGGAGTAAACTTATTTCACATGGAGAGTGATATATTCCAGCACCCAAAACAATTTCCAAGTATGATCCTTCACCCTTGGGAAGAATCAAGTTTACCAGTTTAATAATCTGTGGACATTACCACAGCCTCCACTCTACCTGCTGGGATAGCTATAGGTACTGTATTTCTTTCTACCACTATATGTTCCAATATAAAGTTTTCATGGGAAACCAGTTAGCCTTTCCCTAGAATTTTCATCTGTGAAACTGTAAATTGTCCTACTGTGAGTTTTACAATTTTTGCTAAACTTGGCATTTGATACCAAATCATGGCTCATTTGAAAGAAAAATGTTGCCACCCATTTGACAGTAACTGTGCAAGCAAGCTTTTCCACGGAGCTCTGTGGCAAAGCTCTGAAGTTTTAAACACTGCACACTGTTTGGTATCAAACAAACTCTGCTCTACCAGTCTGGACTTTAAGAGCAAATTGGATAGATGTTAGGCCTAAGTCTCTACTGGAGCTTCTTTGAAAAGCAGCTGAGTGATCAAAGATCCTTGTTACTAAACACCAGACTGAATGAAAGTGTCATATTTTGGGCACCAGCCCTAGTAGATTGAAAGGGTGCACTAGAATTAAGAGTACTAGATGTATGTGAGGGAGGGGAAGAAAGGAGGGTAGGGTGAGGAAGAGGGTGGCTTGGTTAGACGATCATATCGTATCTTCTAGCTTTAAACTCTTATTACTCTACTTTGTAGATTGCTGTAGGTCTGCAATCTATAGATGTAAGTTTACAATATGCTTTGTAAATTGCTGTATACATGTCTAGACAGGCCAATTATGTTTTTACAACATATCTTCAGTGTTTTAGGAATCTTGTGTTAACTGGAGGTGTTTATGGTGGACATTCCTATAATCTTGGGAAATATGGGATAATACCACATTATAAAAGACTGAGAAAAAAAAAACAAAAAAACCAACACCTGTTCAGTCAGAGGCACCAGACAGTAGGTTTTGAACAGCTGGTCTCTACCCTACCTTGGATGATTTTTTGTTTCCCATCCATCTCTACACTTCACAAACCAGAGCTCTTTGCCAGGAGAGATGTTTGTCTGATGAAGGTCCTCAGCACAGAAAGTAAGCCTGGAAGGAAAAACCAGAAGCCATGAACAGAGGTTATCTATATTTAGTAATGCAAGTTCCTTATATTTTTTGGAAAGTAATTATGAAAGACTCGTATAAAATCTCAGCTTTCTGAAAGAACAAACCATGTAAAGTCTAACAAGAGTGACCTCAGATTGGGGGTTAGGAATGAGTTCCTCCTCCACCTTAGCACCCAGTATCACCACTAGCACCAATACCACTGTGGCATTGATGTCAAAATGACAGCCTGTGCTGTAATCGGAGTCACTTCCATATGAAGAATGCTACTGCAGCAGAAATCTGACCGTCTTCCACCTGCTACTAGAGGACATTCAAGATAATCTTGTGCAGTGCTTTTAGCTTTTAAATATTGGGGGTAATTAAAAGACCAAGACCTTGGTATGCAGATCTCAGAGAACAGTGCCAAAACAATTAAAATTCTTCATAAGCAGTAAGATATTGCTCTGGTGCAGAGGGCTCTGAAGAGTCTGGGCAGGTTGTACAAGCATTTTGTAAACTGCATTTTATACTGCGAATTGCACACAATAGGTCTGGGTTTCTTGTATGGACAGAATAAAATAAAATCAGCAACATAACGGCATGATGGGGAGTGTGGTCACGTGTGCTCAGCATCTTTACAAGTTGAGGGTTACTGGAGTGCATTTGCTCTTCAATGAATCCTATATGAATCTCAACTAGTCCATAGTCCCCTGTTGCTTGAAGGACCAGTATGTTTAGTGCTACCATTATTTGCATTCCAAAGCTGGGTGTCAAGCTGTTAGTTAATCCAGTGTATTAACTCATTAAACCTCTGCAAACACTACAAAAATTGCCATGATTTTTGCCAAACTATGGTGCATTTGTTATTGGCCTTCTTTCAACAGAGGAACATTTGATGCTTTAACGGCCCTCTGCCCCATCCCCACTCATATTAGTGAAAGGGGAGACAATAGCAACACCTTTGTTAACAAAAAAACAAATTACACTGAACAGGACTGAGCAATATTCTTTTAAAGTTAGGCTTTCAGAGAAATTGCTGTTCTTCCAGCCAGCAGTGTCACCATATCAACCATTAAACTATACTAGAGTGTCAATGGACATATTCACTGCTTGTATAACTGGAGTTCCCCAGCTGGTCAATGTTTGGAGACTTTTTCTTGGTGTCCTCAATACATCTTGAATATCCCTTTGAACGAGGATTCAAACCCACCCCAGGTCATGAACACACTATAAAAGAATATCTTTCTACTTACTTCTGTTGAGTTTCCCCAGACTTCACACGTATACGTCTGATGTGCAGCTCCTTGGAGGAATTCTCAGGCTGGGACCAGTAACTCTTGAACTGTTTCCACAGACTATACCAGGAGTGAGATGACCCTTCCCACGTAAGCTTGATCTTTAAGAGGTCACCAATATCTTCCTCAGTATAGACCAGGAAAGTGTTTGTGGAATTCAGGCCAATTTGGTCGAGTCTGAAAGACAGGCAGAGAACTCAGCCTTGTTTCCTCATTGAGACTAAAAAGACGCTGTATTAGACAAGTGTGTTGAAAATTAAGAGCTTCACGGTGCATCAGGCATTCCACAAAGCTGCTTAACTCCAGGCTCTTGTTAGTTCCTGGTGTGAGTAAAGAAAGTGAACTCGGATCTCTGGTTTAGCAATGTTGCTATGAGGCATTGCACCTCAGGCTCTCCCCTGCCGTAGGTGATGAAAACTGGGTCTCAGATGTGGGTTGCAAGCCAGACCAAACCCATGCAGCTGCTCTACCTGGCCTGCGAGGCTACTGGCAAGCCATCAGAAGTTGGGTGTGACCTGCCACCAAATTCAAGGCCCCACTGGCCATGTCTGTTGGCAGTGATCTAAGATTGCTGCTGCCACCTGGAACCCTTTCTTCAAACCTCCTGCCACCACCGGACCCTCACCTCCAGACCTCTTGTTGCCACTGCCACCACAGCAGCTGCCCCCAGTGCCCCAAGTTGGATCTGGCCTACAGGGAGCCCCAAGGCAAGTTAGACACCCTGAACCAAGACAAGTTTGCTGGGCACTTGCTTCTTCTAAAGCAAAGATGTGTAATTCCAGAAGAGGAATGTTTTTGTGGGTCAGAATAGGGAAGGGAGTAAATTGCTCTTCACTTACATTTCCAGAGAGAGGGGTTCAGAGTCTCTGTTCGTGCCGTGAAGGGTAACCAAGAAGGTAGGCTCAGTTTCTCCTAAGTTTTTATAGCTGAAAACATGCATTTTCATCTGATAATGGTAAACTAGAGCGAGAGAGAGAGAGAAATACACTTTACAACCACATTTGCAAACAGAGGTATCCATCTATTCCATTACTAATATACCAGTTGCCAGAGACTAAATATTTTCCATATCAAAACAGCATTGATAGGTGGAGAAAGCATCAAATTAGTGACTGACTTAGCCGAAGATGAAACTCCAGGACTCGGTCATTTAGCTTGGAGGACTTCCTGAATCTTGTATTAAAATACCCCCACACCATTTTGTGTCTAGAATGCTCCTGTTTAAAAAGTGTTGCTCAGATACAGAGTCAGGGGTTACCCTTATGTTAATGTAAAGGGAGGAATAGTAATTTTCTTCCTTAACACAAAGAGGTGCTGCCTCACAACCTTGAAGTGGTTATTGGACCTGGATATTTGAATCAACGCAGATGTAGCCCTCCCAGTACTTTCATTTCTGCCAAACTGTCAGTGTCAGAATATTAACACTTAGCGGAAGATGGTCATCCCCACAGATCAGCACCGTCTTTCAAGTTAATCTCATTAGATAGGTACCTCTGAAAGGCATGCCAGCTCTGGTTTTTAAGTACATCTTGCTGTTCCTTTTATTCCTCATTTTCTTAGCGTTGTAGCCAATGCTGTTGCAGCGGTTCTTTCGGCAGCTCAGACAGATTCCCTTCTTGAAACGGCTGGAATTTGTGCACTGAAAAGCAAAACTCCGCTTATCTTGGTTCACAAGAGAGTCCACAAAGAGGTCCACAGATCGTTCGTGTTCACATTTCACAACGTCCCCAATACCTAGATAAAAAGGAGAAGGTTGTGGTTTTAAGGAACAGTTCAGCCATTTGCCACCCCAACAGATACTTCAGTGAGCTAGTCCATTTCCTGTTCAAAATAAACTGATTTTGGCCAAAAACCAGCTACATTTTTCAAATAAGCATAGTTCAAGACAGTAATACAAGACATTTGGACAAAACAGTCTGTCACTTTAAAAATCGTTTTGCTATAAAGAGGCAGACAAAATGTTTTCAGAGCCAGCAAAATATGGCATTGATTAATGTCCTGGAGTAGAAAGTGGTCTGAGCTCATGAAGTTTTATAGTAAGTTTACTGGAAAATACTCTAGCCTCATCTCTTGGAGGCAAAGAGGCATTGAAAAGAAACTCCTATTAGGCAGCAGCTTTGTTGTTATACTATCGTCTGCCTTTGAGCAGATGGGGAACCCCCTTTGCAAGTCAGCTGGTGAGGAGTAGAGGTTGCTCTAACTAAACAGAGTATTTGTCAGAACTTACTCCCATACGCGATTGCTCCCAGAACATCACTTAATCCACAACCAGGCTGGAAATCGCCCCCATTGGGGTAGATATCAATGTGACCCACAGGCATCTGGATCCCAATGCTGACGCCCAGCGTTTCTCTCGTATATGTATGAAGGACATCCACAAAGTCCGCATCATCAGGGGAGAGGCGTCTGTAAGGTTCAACTCCTTCAAACATAGGGCCAGCTGGATCCAAGCCTGTTAAGGAGAACACAAGAGACACGAGATAAACACTTTGTTATGTACAACATTGGCAACGGCCAAAAGGTCTGCAACACTTTCCTAATAATAGTGATGCAACCAGTTCCTGTCCCAGAAAGCATACCTCTAGAGTAGACTTTCATAAAACTCATCATCACAATTAAGTCAAAGAATAATTAACCAAGGATGAATAGTACAAATAATGGAATGCATTAATACTTCAGGTCTGCCCTAATTATTTATGGACATATCTTCACAAATCCGCTGTGCTTTTAAATAATGCAACAAATAAATGATTTCAAGTGTAGCGAGTTAGACGTTTCAGTGCTCAGAGACCAACAGTCACATTGGCCATTGACATTAAAGGGGTGTGTTGGGCACACCAGAACATGCACCTTTATAAGAAAAAGAACCAGCTGTTCACGTTTAGCCAATTGTTCTCCAAAAGACTGAGATGAGGTGGTTTGGTATGACTCTAATTAACCACCCTTGGAGCATAAGTGTAAGTGTAAAGGACTTAGTGGGAGTTTGTTTTGAGCAGTACTCCTCAGAGACTGGGCCCTAGTTGCAGAGGAAGCCCCTTTTCTTTAGTAAAGAAAAGTCAGTCCAGATGAACATGTGCAGGCATAAGAGACCTAACTTCGCAACAAACTCAGTGGTATCAGAAGGGAGAGGAGTAGAAGTCAGTACTTAAACCATCTCCTCTGCCTCATACGAGTTCAGCAAGCAATTGGGAAGAAAGAATGGTAGGGGAAGGGAAAGTCAGTTAGTCTCTTCCAAGACTGAAGGATCCAGCATAACTAAAAAGTAAAGACATGCTAGTACCTTAAACACTAGGAAGTTTCCTTATGGTATTGAGCAGGGGTCAGCAGCCTTTTGCTGCTGTGGGCCGCAGCTTGCGATCCAGCTGTGGCTGCAAGCCAAAAATCCACCTCCCTCCCCTCTTCGCAGCAGCCAGCTGCCTGCACTCACTCTCACGGCAGATTCCCAATTCCTCTGTATTTAGGGAATTGCAGATGTGGTGAGCAGTAGGCTCTGCAGCTGAGGGGAGCACTACAGGGGAGATGCTCAGCACGATGTAGCTCTGTGCCCCTGATACCTTGTGTTGGAATGAACCATCCTGGGCTGGATTGGACCTAGTCACAGGTCAGATCTAGCCTGCAGGCCATATGTTACAGATCCTTGGTATGAGAACCAGAGAGAAATAGCTAGCTGGTTCTTTAAGACTAGTAGCTAAAGATGAGTGAAAACGTGGCTATCTGGACCATCCAAAATTTTGAAAACAAATCCCCACTACCTGTTCCCATTTGGCCCTTATGTCCCCAAATAGAGGAACTGACTTTTGGAGATCACCGCATGTGATGATAAATTTCTAGTGCTTCCCATATTACACAGTAGTTTATTCAGACTGTAGCATTACCCACATGTACTGGTTTTATTGCTAGAATTTCTTATCCCCTCCTAAACAGATAAGGAAGGCACATGGTTGTAGCGTAGGCAACATACTCTTCTGAAGACAACCCTCCCCACCATGTTTCTAAACAATTCTTGCAAGGCTGGAAGATCCAAATCCTCTCGTATATAGAGGAGAGTTTTAGTAGGATACTGACCTACAAAACTAGTGGAACTGCGCTAGCAAGTAGGTTGCAGGGGACAGAGTAGGTGTCAAAAATGAAGGGTACAGTTTAATAACTGATGTGAGCCAAATGGGAAACAAGTTACTGTCACAGCCAAGTTAGCTTATATATGGGGACTATAGAGTAGGCATCTCTACCAAATAGAAATGTAAGATTTTGATAACAAGGGTATGAGAATAGGCCAGTGTTTAGCCAACACATATTGGGTCCTATAGGAGTTTGTGAAAACAGGTTTTTCCATTTCAAGAGAAAGTCTCATGACTAATATTAGAAGAATCCCACAGCAATAATATTTTGTAGAAGAAGGGGAAGAGATGCAATGTCAGTTTAGTATCCAAAATGTAAAAAAAAAAAAAAAAAAAAAA